TACGCTTTTCACTTTTTTGTCGTTTATTAACTGTCAGAACTGTAATTCAAAATTTTGCTTTTAACAGAAACTTTTTGTCTTTTTTTCTCATTAAAAATCGTTTATTTTTTCTTTTTATTATTCATTTAATTTCTCTTACCGGAACTTTCTTGCAGAAGTTCTACTGTATCGATGCTAAATGGGATTATTCTTCATATTTGACTTCTTCACGGCTAGATAAAATTTTTAGCAATTTTCTCACCAATACGGTAATTAATTTTTTATTCTCTTTTTGGAGATTTTCTGCAAAAATTGATATTTACTAGCGGGTTTTTTAGTTTTTTTAAAAAAGCTTTTGAATATCTGGATATTTTAAAGAACGTTAGGAGGTTTTTTGCTGGAAGCCACTTGGAGTGTGTAACTTGATCAAACCTTCCTTTGAACATCTAACTTTTAGTTTCATATTTAAGGTTTCAAAAGGATTTGATCAATTTTCTTTTATTGATTACGATACTCTTCTATCATTATGTCAGCAGTTACGTTCAGAAGAAATCTCTACAGACCTTTTCGACAGCATAATTAACTTTTCGGAGAGTCTTCATGAATACGCACTGTGAGCTTTCATTTATTCTGTTTTAGCTAGAATATGCTTACTTTTGGGGATAGTAAGTTGATATTTACGAGGTGTTATAATCAATCATTATATAACGAAGTTTTTACTTGAGTGTTTTGTACTTCAAAGTAAATCAATCCTTTTAAACCAAGGTTTCGGTTTGTTTTAAAGGGTGAAACATGGTACACCTCGCGTGACCAGCGATTGGATTTTGAGTCAGAGGAGTGTTTTATCTATAGCGAAAAGCAAACTTTTGAGAGATTTGGACTTTAACGGTTTTGAGAAACTTAAGTCAGAGTTACTTTTGGAAAAGATCAAGTCGCTAAGCGACCGATGGTCTTCTGTCGCTTGTCCAAGGCTAAAAAATCCATCGAACACTAGTAGTTTGGACTTTTTGAGCTCAGAATTCGTTTCCCCCCTTACGGCTTGCGTTTTCCCGATGGAGGATGAAGAGCAGGTTTTTCTCCTACTATTTCTTTATATATTATTTACACGTTGGTAGCCTTTTTTCTTTCATAGTAGTGTTTTATGGTTTTAATTTGCCTGATAATAAGCATCTTTGCAGCATATACCGTCTTTGATCTCTGCTGATGATAACTTAGTGCGGTTTGGATTGTCAAAACTGAGTGGAGATAAGTAAGTGAAATTAAATCTTTTGCCTCTCCTTAACTTGAAACCTAAAATTGTTGCAATTTCTACTTGGCATCACTTAGGGCTTACATGGAGCGGATGAGCTGGTTAGTCCAAGTGCAGGATTCTGCTTTCTCTTCGGAAGAAGCTCTCTCCCTGTGTCATAATATTGTTGGTGATTTCAAAGACGATGAAGAAAGAAAAAACTACGATCAGCAGCGATTGTCGCATACAATAAATGCGATGTTAAATATGCTTATGTCTTCATCCAGTGTTGCTTGCAGGACGACACGGTTACTTTGCCTTTTTGTGTTGAAAACTTTAAAGTATTATAAATAACGATCTAAATTAATTTAGCGAATCGACAGTTGCACAAACTGGTTCTTTATTGGCTGAAGTAATACGCACCAATCAGAAATCATTATCATGGCATGGGCCAGCAAATGGGTTTTCCGATTTTTTGTCAAAAGTCGTGAATAAGGTGGAATCAGTTAAATGCACCTATCCTCTTATTGACTTTTTTGTGGATTTGGTAACGAAGGATGCAAATAGTAAGATTTTTTTTCGTGTTTTTTTTTCCCATTATGTCAACTGGTTGCAAACAAGCACTTGCTTTCTGATGTAGTTTTTGTTATCTTCCCTCTTTTAGCTACGGACCTAGATGAGGCAACTTTGGGTATGTTTGTTACCCCACTCGCATTACGATACGACCTGTTAGAGCAGTGGATAGAGGAGTGTGAAGATCCTCTTGAAACTTTTGCAAAAATGCGTCCAGTTCTTCTGTATCTGGTAGATAAAGACGTACCCTCTGTGAAAATAACTTCAGCAGCGTTCTGCGAACGAATGGCTGAAGTTTTGTTCAGCATTAAAACTTATGAAAAGATGGTCGAAAGGAGTAAACTGACTGTTGCTTGGAGTGACCGATTCCGTTATTCAAACGTTCTGGGATTCTCTGAAGTAATCTTTTTACATTATTTGTTTATAAACGTGATACCTCATAATTCGGTAATGTACTTTTCCCTATGGATTTAGAAAAATTTTTCTTTGTATTTTTTTACATATTTCTGTAATCATAAAATATCTTTTTATGTAAGAAATTTGAGAATCGTAATATAGGTTTGTAACACGTCTTGTTTTATACAGTTACGCCTTATGAGGTTAGGTGGCTGTCTTTTAAGTGTAGGAAGAAAAGCAATAAGTTTGAGAATGCTTGAAAAATCAGAAAGGTCAATCAATTCCGTTAATATCTACTAAGTCTAGATTTCTTAAGTTTGGGTATGAGTTCGCTATTTTATTTATAACTTGCCTGTTCATAAATAGCTTATTGTCTCGTAAAGGAAACATTGCTAGGAGACATCAATTGCTAGGAGCATAAGCCTTCCTAATCATGGCCCTCTATCAGGTTATTTTGACTACATTGATAAACGTCTTGCACATAATTTATTTTTCCAGGAGGGTGGCAAAGATCTGTTGCAGAAGAAATGTGTATTTTTTGAATGTGTTAATTTGCTTCTTGAACTTGGCGGGGAGCACTTACATTGTTTAATCACCAAACAGTGTTCCGCTTTACTTGAATTCTTGATTGATTCTCTGCAGGAGAATCATTTACAGGTGCTTTTTTTTGAATCTCTTTATGGATCTTGAATGTTTTTTAACAAACGCAATTGCTAATTGTTTAGAAGATATTGATGGGTGATTGCTGAGGCATACTTTTTTGATTTTTTTTTACTTCAATCTTTTGGACAGTTTAGTAAATTAGAAGCCTTATTTCAGATTATCGCCGGTTCCGCTAAGGTGAGTGACAAGGACCTGAATGCACTTAGTCATATATTGCTTTTTTCTGTGAATATTTTTGAATATTTTTCCACTCTTTGTCACTCGCATTTTGCTTACCATGCAGAGGATGATAGTGAAGACGACGAACTTGGTATCACAGACTTATGTTGGCCACCTTCGTATAAGGTTAAAATCTTGTTAAATTGGTTTTTTTTAGCTTAATTTCTTTCACGTACAAACTTGTTGTCAATTTGCAGTCTCAAATCAGTAGCACGTCGAGTAATCAACAGGAGCTTCCTCTGTGCACATTTTCAACTACTGCACAAGCCTTTGTAGAGCAACACTGGTACTGCTGTTACACTTGTAATATGTATGATGGAGAAGGAGTTTGTTCTGTATGTGCGGTGAATTGTCATCGGGGTCACGACCTTGCATACAGGTATATTTTACAGGCGTAGCTAGAGTCCTGAGCAGACGTACTCTTCGCATTTGATATATTTATCTTCCTTATTTTATGTCATGATATCCTCTTAGATATTGAGGCCAAATTTTGCTAATTATTACTGCTGTGCCCACGACGGCTTTGAATGTTCTTCTTTTATTGCCATTAAAATCGCTGCACTTTTAATTTTGTTGAGGATGCAGAACATCCTTTTGATTTACCATGATCTATTAGTTTTTAAATTTTAGTAAAAAGAGTCCGTTTTTTTGTGACTGTGGAGCAAAGAACTGTTCGTCTCTAACCAAGGTTCAATATCCTACTCTAAGTAATTGTAATGAGGAAGTGAATGTTGAAGCAGGCTCTGTTGTTACCGAAGAGGAGCAGAGGAAATTTTCTGTCTTTTTGGGTTTTAGCCCTCAAAGTCGGCGTAAAATTGAAATCATATTGGTAAAGTGTTTTTATTTTTCTTTCAAAGGTAGTTTTATTTTCAAAACTTTTGGTTTTGTGTATTGATCGTTTTATTCACTCAAATCTCTTATATTTCAGGAAGCGCTGTTGCAGAAGCTGAGTAAGAATGACAAAATCAGTTTGTCTGCGTCTTCATTGGCATCGAGCTTGAAAGAGCGCTCACATTCAGCTTTTATCCTTCGAAAGAACGAGTCTCTGCTGCAGCTTCAGAGCAAAACCGAATTCAAAACGGGAGAAAGAGAAATCATGGTTCTTTTACAAATATACATATTCGTACTAACCTAATCTATTTACTTTTTTTTGTGATTTTTAATTTTCCGACTTTTGTTTTTTTTTATTGCAGCAGTATTGGCTCACACATGAGAAAATGAGCTCATACTTTGAGGGATTGAAAATTACTTCTAATGCTATGACAGTTTTGAGCTTTTCGCGTTCTAGCTTATTGGCTGTTGTAAAAGATTTTTCAAAAATTGCTTTACTAAATATGGGGATGACCATCAGTCCATCTTTATCGGATAACGCTGACCTTCTGGTAAGTTCTTACATGTACTACGATAATTTGGTCTTCGGTGTTTATCAAAAGCAAGTTTATAAGTTTCATTGATGAGGTATTATCATCCTCCCTTTTTGTTCAACACGAATTAGCCGTTTATTAGTTTTCAAGCCTAAAATTTTCAGTGGAAAGTGTTGAGGGATTTGTATGCTTTGTTTAGAGACGTTTATTATGGATTTTGTCTTTAAATTCTTTCGTTTTAGAGGGTAGAATTGGACTTCAGTGCTCAAAAAATTATTGGGATATCTTCACAAAAAGATCTCATGGCAGTTTGTTTCAACTCCTATTTTCGTGTGTTAAGGTTGAACGAGTTAGGCGATATAATCCAAGAGAGGAAAATAAACTTAACAAATATGGGCAACAACAATAAAATAGTAAAAGTAAGTGTAATCAGTAGTGCAATAATCCCTCTGATTTTCCTACTTTTTATGGCTCCGTTTAGATAAATTTTTTGCCTGGTGTAAAGCCTTTACTTGGTGTGGCTACTCAGCAATTTATCCGTGTATATGATCTATGTGCGCAAGTAACAGATATAAAATATGAATTTGTTTTGCCTTTGGGGAACGTTTCAGATGTCGCATTTGGTGCGTGTTTTAAAAATTTGGGCTGTTTTTTGGCCACTTTTCACCGCTAAATTTATACTTTTGGTATATATTACAAAAGTCGTGTGTGACTTAAATATCAGTTTATCTTTTACTAGCTAAATGCACGATCCTTCTTTCAGTTCTAAAGACTGTACTGTTGAAAGATTATTTTCTTCCTGTTGAGGGCTTGTTGACCACATGGTTTTAAGAACTGGTTTTAAAATTTTTTCAGCTGCTGATGCGAAGAAAAAAATTCGAGTGTTTGTACTTTCTTCTCCAGGCCATGTATATGTTGAATCGCTTGATAAGGGTGATGTAGTTTACAATGATGGAGCATATTTTATGACAAATACTATACAGCTTCCCACTGCGAAAAATGCGGTTTCCATGCATTATTCCCCTACTTACTGTTGTCTTTTCGTTTCCTTGCAAGGTGCTAAATTTGAAAAAATTTTTTAGAAGTTTTAGGTAGAATTATAATATTTGGAGCGCTTCTAAGTGTCTATCCCTTGCTATTCGGTTCAAACCTGCTTGAAAAAAATTACTGTTTAAAATTATTTTCAGATGTAGTTTACCTGCTGTATATGAATGATGGTTGTGAACCTCGCGTTGACACTGTACCAGTGGAAACGGTGGTTGACAATTGGTCGGAATGTGGAGGTGTTATTTCTGCTATTTCTGTTCCTGACAGAAAGTCTATAGTTTTTTTTTATTTCGACGGTAGCTTCTTTCATATCCAACATATGAAAGCTCCATCACCTATAAGCGCTAGTTGCATGGTGATGAGTCTTGATCAAGCATCACAGATCGCCATTGAAATTGACGATGATCATAAGGTCTACCTTTATAAAAGGTATAATTTAAAAGTGTAATCTAAGTTTTGAAAATACATTTATTGTGTTGGCATTAGCGGGTCACTGTTTTGAAAAAAACTTTTTTGGAAAACTCAGTTGAAAAATCTTGTCAAAAACTTTTTTCAAACTCTATAGCGTATAAAATTTTCAGAAATCATCGAAAATTCCCAGATTTTTGGATAACTGGCCTTGAATGCGCGGTCAAGGAAAGAAAATTGCGTCTAGAGGATATCGGCAAAGTTAAAAAAGTTGTACGATCTCAGGCAGATTTAGTAACCATTTTTGACAGTTGTACAATATTGGAAAAAGTTGAATTCTACAGCGAGACACTGTTGCGGCGTTATGACACCTCAGAGCTCACAAAACGTTTGAATTCGAAGGCTATGACTGTTGTTTCGGTACAGGTAAACAAAAATTTTGAAAATTAGTTTATTTCAATTTTACGATGGAAAATCTTAAGAGACGGTACATTAATTTGTTTCTAAATAAACGTTATTCAGGACTACCAATTCGACATAGTTGTCCGTAATCTTGACTGGAATTATGTTATCTGCGCACTTTCTGTTGAGGTTTCTCCAGAGGAAGGGCCTGAATGTGTAACTGCTTTAGGCAGAAAAATTCCTTTAGAGACGTCTAAAAAGAGAACATTTGATATTATACTCACAAGAAACGACTCTTTAGAATGGTATGGTTATTGAAAAAATTTTTTCCTTTAAATTTCTCTTTTTACTTAATAACCAGTACATTAGGATGTTAAGTACGGTGATGTGTAATTTAGTTGACTTTTCTTAGATCAGATTTCCTAGCCTGGTTTCTGTGTTCGTAATGTGGAATCGCTTTGAGAGTCCAGTTGATTAGAGCAGCTTCACTGTTTTACGAACTGCAATTTATTGGTGTAGTTAAAATCGCTGTATTCTTATTTAAAAATACAGTGTTGAAAAGAATATGTTTTAAATTCTATTTTTTTGGGCATCTGAACGAAAATGGTTAGGGCAGACGACCAAGAAGTTGTGTTAAGCAAAGTAATACACAAATTTTCATTTTTTTTCGTTTTCTTTCTGTTCGACTTAATTTTCACATTTTCTAATGTTTGAGACGAAGGTTTTAACTGATTTTATTGTGTTTTAGTAGAAATCAAGTCAAATTGGTTTTTTCGTCAAAGGCCGTACCTGTTCAAATTTGTTCTATCAAGGTACTTTTAATACATAGTAAATCTTGTCTGAATCTATTGACGGCAAATATATACCTCTAAAGTTCATTCTTTAATATCTCAGAGTAGAGCACCAATTCGAAGTGTTCTGTTTAGGTATATGGGAAAACTAAGAAAGATTTTGGTTTCCCAAATGTAAGCTACGAAATTGAACAGAAGTTAACGACGTCGGAATTTCTTATTTCGTCTTTCCTTCTTTCGTATTGTGACATTGTGCAAGGGTTTGGTTTGAAGCAGGTTTGACAATTTATTGTACAGAAGTGTGCCTCTGTTACGTTTTGTTTCTTTTTAATTTTTTGTAATGTTTATTTAGGCTAGCTCTTCAGCTAATACTTTTAGGATTCTAACTGGGTAGTTAATATTGCCGAAAAGTTCATTTGTCCAGGTTACCACCATGATGCTCTTAGGCGAGCTGCTGAACGAGCAGTTCGTTTGCTCACCACAAGCACTCGAGCGTTCTATGCGATTAAAGTAGTTTTTTGTTCCGTAATTTAGAAAAGTTCTATATGTTTTGAAGATTAGTTTTTCCTGATCTTTTTTCTGGTCAAAATTTTA